TATGAAGAACAAGGAATTTCTAATGAATCTTCACAAGAGGTGGATACGTTCTTTTTGCTTACAACACAAGGGTTAGCCACACATTGCAATTGACCATCCAACTCACATGATGAGCTTTCATCAATTTTGGTTTCTTCTTTGGAAAAGCTCTTAGTGAGAAAAGCATGGTCCTTTTTAAGCTTCTTATGTTTTAGCCAAAGAACCTCATGAGTCAATTTTGACTCCTCAGGCATACATACAAGCATGCCAAGTAAATGCTCGGAACGATCATATGATTTCTTTAGAATGAGATTTTCATTTTTCAAGTTTTTCTTTTTAGTTTTACCTTTTCCAAATAAAGTGACATATCCTTAACAAGATCTACAAGCTCATCATATGTGTAGGTATGGTCAACTACATCATTATCATTGTTTACCTTTATGTTGTCATTGGACATGTGACAATGAGTTGATGTAGATGGGCTTGTAGAATCATCATTGTTGTCAAGTGAGCTTGTAGTGGAGAGATCATCACGATCACTTAACTCAGGATGGAGCAATCATCAACAATATCAATCTCATTAGTAGGCTCAACATCACCAATAATGCAATCTTCCTTCTCATGGAGCTTGCCATCATCAACATCATTATTTGACCATGAGGTGGAGCAATCTTCCACAATCACCAACTTGTGGTCATGGTCAACATCCTCATGCACACTCTCCTTGGGATCATCCTCCATGATTTTGCCATCATCACATGTGGAGGAATCACCATAGAGTCGGTTGATTGCCTCCTACAAATCATGAGCGGTCCCCTTGCAATCTACCCTATAAAAAATCTCCAAACTCAAAGCATCCATTATGAAGCAATAAGCATGTGCATCGAGTTCATAGCAAACCTTTGGAGCTTTGGTAAGATTTCTATGATCTAGCACATGAGAACATGGGTCCCTTTGCATGAAAATGATCAATCATGTGTTGTTTCCACCGTGCAAAGTTTATGCCATAAAAAATGTGTGAGTGACAACATTCTATCCCACTAATTGCCATCCTCTTGGGTTGGTGAAGACCACAAAAGAGAGACCTATCTCTGATACCACATGTAGGGTCGAGATGTCCGATTAGAGGGGGGTGAATAGTCATTTCTAAAAATTAATCGCAAGAGCTAACCCATTTAGATGCGTAAGTGAAAATGCGGTCTTGCCTCGACTACACCCCTCTATCTAAATTGGCTAGCACCCTTATAAAAGATTGAGCTAGAGAACAACTAGGGTACCAAGCTAGTGAGAATTCTCCAAAACAATTCTAGTTGGCAACAAAGCAACTAGTAAAAGAGAAAGTGCTCCGAAGCTCCTACACATGCTAGTGATAAAGATGGTAAAAAGCACAAGCTCAACAACACAAGCTCAATATATATTGCAATGAAGTAAACTTGTGTTGAGATAAGCAAACCACAATGTAGAGGATGACACACGATGTTTTTACGTGGTTCGGTGACTTGTCGGTCACTTAGTCCACGTTGAGGCGAGTTCTAGGATTGCCGCTCCTCTTGTTAGTTCCAAGCCCGCAAGCTTTGGACTACCTGACTAGGTAGGCTCCACGTGAGCACTAAACTTTGAGCTGGCCAAATCAACTAGACACTCTCACAAGCCTCGATTTTACTAGAGATGCTCTTTGCCTTCCTCCGGCGGGGATGAGCTAAATAGCCCCTCACAAAGCCAACTTTGGAGCACCGTACAATCCTTCTTGCGTGCTTCACGGAGACATAATCACCAAGCCGTCTAGGAACCAGCAAGCTCCAAGAGTAACAAGCAACCACGCCCGCATGACGACCACCTAATGCCACAAGAAATCTCTCACGCAAAGATTCGCACTAGTGGAGCACACTCACTCTCCAAATGTTGCCCTCAAGCAAGGAGTATGAGGTGCTCTCCCAAAGAGTATGTTGTTAGAATAGCCAAGAGAGCCCTCACCAACCGGGCACCCCACTATATATAGAGGAGCACCCAAAAACTAGCTGTTGCTGTGCTGACTCGACATTCCCGGACAGTCCACGGTACAAGCCTTGGACTATCCGCCGTTATTAGCAACTAGCCGTTTGGTTCAAAAACCAGGGTTGCGGACTGTCCGCCATAAGGGCGTGGACTGTCTGCCACTGTCCTTGGGCTCCCTGATCAGCAAGGTTAGCAACTCTATTCACCAGCATTTTTGACCGGCGGACTGTCCGCCGCCAGGGCGCGGACCGTCTGCCGTTTATCTACGGCACCCAAGACAGAGTTTACAGCAACTCTGTTCGCCACGAGTTATGACTGGCGGATTGTCTGCCACCAGGGCACGGACAGTCCGTCGTTACCACGGCAACCAAGAACATATTGTTTTCAATCTTTTAGGTTTTCTAGGAGTGACCGGCGGACAGTCCGCCAGCAAGGTGGACAATCCGTGGTTGCCCAGAAAACACTCCACCAAGCGCATCGCCTCCTCAGCTTTGGATGGCTACTCCACTCCTCAATGGAGAGTTCCAAAGCATCTCAAAGTTAGTCCCAGCGCTTCTCAAAACCTTTTTCAAGGTAAGCCAACACCAAGTAACGATCTCTCGCAAGACGATCATTTAACTCGCCACCGGTTAGCTTTTAACAAACTTTTCACAAAAGGTTTTTAACTTTTGCCACTTACCACTAACCATACCTCAACATTAGAGCTCACAAGTGGCACTAGATAACCGTAAAGCAAAACATGTTTGCCCCTCTTAATAGTACGGCTATCTATCCTAAACCCGGCTATTTATATCTTCTCTACACACCTCATAGCCGGTAAAATGAAACACCCTATGTTTCATACCTTTGCCTTGCACAAAACCAAGTCCCACAAGTTTGATGCCCGCAAGGAAAGTGTTGTTCGACATATTCACCAAGCCACTTGAGATAAACAAAGAATCTTTCGCTTGGTCTCCATAGATGATGTGGATCAGTCAAACCATCACATAGACTCCAAGTCCATCAACCTTGGTCTCACTTGCTCTTCACCGTTGCTTGGTCCTTCGACGTCAAGTCTCGCTTAAGCTTCTCCGTCACGTGCGGTCCATCGCAGCCTCTCGACTTGCCCTTCACCATCGCCTTCGTCCTTCGGCGCCAAGCCCACTAGCTTGCCCTTCACCATTGCATTGCACACGGTCCATTCGCAGCCAAGTCTTGCTTCGGTCTTCACTTGCTTGCTATGTTTGATTTGAGCATTCCATCATGCTAACAATCAAATTCATATCAACATCCAACTTTTCTTGTGAACTAAACCAACTTTCCTTCACACACTCAAATAGAGAAGTTAGTCCACAAGTGTTGTCATTAATTACCAAAACCCAAACAAGGGCCTATTCGTTTAAAGCCCAACGGCTAGTGGAGTGCATACTCTCGTGCGTTAAACAACAAACTACACTAGACTAACGACTAGTGGAGTGCATGCTCTAGCGCGTCAAACAACTGACTACACTAGACTAATCTGGTGTCGTCCACAGAGGTGCAGAAACCGATTTCCCACCATCGAAAAGTCCAATGCTCAGCACCCGGGACTTCCGACGAATCCTTCGGAAAACTCCTCTCATTGAACAATGTGCCATAGTGTTCCGGTGCATACTTTTGGCAACCACTGGATAAATTCAATGGCAACCTCTAGACTCGGCTAAGTGTACCATGCACCCTCTTACCATAGCGCATACTCCGTTGAGCCCATAGTTAGGGCATCAGATAAATCCGGTGAGTGCTAAAAAACAACACTAAGTCACAAATTTCGTAAGCGTATCAAATTTGCTAACTTCAATATGTTCCAACACGAACATCTTCACCTTAGGCACTGAGTTAGTTTTTCAAAAAACATTTCACACTTGCATCTCACCACGCCACTAGGTCTAATGGATATGCAAGGTTAGTTCACACGTAGTGGTTAGATAACTGTTTAAACTTTGGAATTCCTCTCTTAATATTACGATTATCTATCCTAAACCTAACCACACACTCTAGTGCGTCTCGGCCAATGAAAACAAAACCCCTAACATATACTTTTTTTCCGGGCTTTTTTTTACCTCCTCATCTTCTTCAAGTATGAGCTTGCTCCATTTGGATTGACCACCTTTCGTCCAATTGGTAGCCTTGCTCACCATCTTGGTGTGGACTTCACCTAGCTTAATCAACCACTTAGTAAAAGGTTAGTCCACTAGTTTCTCAATTCCCCGAACCAAACATGAGGCTTTCACTGCCCCATGGGGGTAGAGGTCAACCATTCCCTTAAGCGGACTTCATCGCCTTGCAGGTTTCCGCTGTCAGTCGCCGCCTCCATCTGGGTTGTCGCCACCCGAGTCGTTGTACCTTAGGGTTAGGGTTCATCAAGACAAGAGCTAGAGAAAACGAGATGAGAGAGTGGTGGGGGAGACGAGGACGATACTCGTATGCCATGTATGCATACAACTAGGTCTAAGGCCTCTCCGGATGTATAGCGTGACATATTTTAAAGGGCCATATAGTGTGACATATTCTAAAACAGTGGGAGAATTATAATGAAAAAATTGCTTTGGAATAGGTGTGAATATCAATGGCCTTGTTCGGCTAGCTGGAAAAACGGCTGATGCTGATTCGTTGTTGGAGAAAAACACTGTTATTTCGCTGAAATGGTACGGCTGATAAGTTCATGCAAATAGGATCAATGACAGTTTTCTTATCAAGAAATCTGCAATGACACTAAATAACCTAATAATAATAGGAGTATAGAATAATTAATGTCCAACAGTGATTATGCTCAAACTCAAATTTCAATTTCAAATATGAAAACCCGGAATCGAAGGAGCAGCTAGATCCAAAACTGTGCTCATTAAATGCTGTAGCCTGCTGGCTGCTGCTGTGCGGCAGATTCTCGAATAGAAATAGAAATAGAAATAGCGCGACTGCGTGCCACTCGGCCCAATCCCGTCCGTCCCCTGCCTCCCTCCCGGCCGCACCCGAATCCACCCGCCACCCGTCCAGCCGCCGTCGCCGCGATGGACGCCGCGGAGGCGTCGGAGCTGCAGGCGCGGCTGGCCGCGGCCGTGTACGCGCTCAACCACGACGCGAGCCCCTCGGCGCGCCTCGCCGCCAACCAGTGGCTCCTCGCGCTGCAGCGGTCTCCGCAGGCTTGGGCGGTCGCTACCTCCCTCCTGGCCGCCCCGGACCCGCCCCCGCCCGCCGACCTCCTCTTCTTCGCCTCGCAGATGCTCCGCCGGAAGATCCAGTCCCCCGGCCCCGCGCTCCCCGGGCTCGGCCTGGCGCCGCAGCTCCTCGACGCGCTGCTCCTGGCCGCGCGGCGGTTCTGCGCCGCCCCGGCCCCGCGCCAGCTGCTCACGCAGATCTGCCTGGCGCTCGCCGCGCTCGCGCTCCGCGCCGAGGGCGGCGTCGACGGCCTCTTCGCGCGGATGCCGCACCTGCCGCCCCCCGCCGTGCTGGAGCTGCTCACCGTGCTCCCCGAGGAGGCTGCGCAGGACCAGGGCGGCGACACGGGGGTCGACGCCGCCGCGCGGTGCCGGTTCACGCGCGAGCTGCTCGCGCACGCGCCCGCCGTGCTCGAGTTCCTCCACGGGCAATCCGAGAAGGCACCCACCGATGACGACGGGGTTCCCCTCCACGAGCGCAACCGTAGAATCCTTCGGTGCCTACTGAGCTGGGTAAGTAAGTACGCGCCCTGCACTTCACTTCGCTCCGCGCTCGGCTTCTTCCTTCTCTAGCTTGCTCGCTGACAAATACGACAATGCCGTAGGTCCGCGTGGGGTGCTTCTCGGAGACGCCGGCAGCCGCGCTTGCCACGCACCCACTTCTCACTTTTGCGTTCAACTCGCTGCAGGTGCGAACTTGCAGCCTCCGGTTCCTTATAAGGGCTGAAAAGTTTACTTCGAGGAATTAGTTGTGCATTCACGTGCTCACACGTTGTCTTGTTGCTGTGTGGCTGATGAAGGTGTCCTTCTCGTTTGAGGTGGCCATAGAGGTTATGACTGAGCTTGTCAGCCAGCACCAAGTAAGTTATGTTCTTCTGAGCCGTGCTACTTTGTTCCTTACTGCAAGCCTGCATTGGTCCAGTTTGTTCCTTACTGCAAGCCTGCATTGGTCCAGTTAACTTGTCTAGTGACGTCTACTGTTTGATTGTGGTATTTACTACTAATTACTATTTTTTTTTCACCACGGACGAACCGAATTTCATTACTTAAAAGCAACGAAATTACAGAAGTTTGTCAATCCAATGCGCAAACACCTCCGAACTAAAGAACTGCCTAATTGTACTGAACACAAAGGGTTCAGCCAACCAGTGACCAAGACCCATCGAAGTCCACCACAGGATTTACAGATGGTAACACAGACGACTATTAATTACTACTTGAATTGTATTTTGGTAGCTAACCATGGATTTAACTTTTAACCCTTGAATCAATTAATTTGACTAATTCATAGTCACTACTTTTAACCTACATTTTGCAATGTTCAGAGAACAGCTGGATAGTTAGGTTTATTTGCCTTATATATCTACATGATGTGATAGTAATACCAGGAACAGTTGCAGTGATGGTCCTGTTCTGTATCATCTTTCTAGAAGAAGATGGGCATACCCTGTTTCAAATATCTTTAACTCATACCAAATCAGTCATAGGTTCAGGTTACTAAGTTGATTTAGGAGTATAAACAAACTGGTCTAGCTCAAATGCACATAAAACATTTACTGACACACTATGGAAACTGCAGTGAGAACCAAAGTATGGAGCTCATTCATCATTTTCTTGGTCAAACCTAGGCAGTCATAATTTCCTTCAGCACTACCCAATCCTCAGTGTCTTGTTTATCTTCTGTTCTAGGCATCAAGCACAAAAATCCATCCTCACTAGTCACATCAAGAACAAACATGTGCAACCTTTTGAGTGGTTTTCCTCCCAATTTTCATCTGCATACATATTTTTATTTCATTTCTTTTTCACACACTGAGAAATTTCCTGTACACAAGCTCTGATCTTGGATATGCCAATTTATTGAAGTTCTATTTCTTTCACATGCATTGGCAATGCAATTTTTCTTCTTATATATGGTTGGTGGGATGAAGAACACCAGTGCTATGATATGAAGCAGGCATTTTTTTTCTTATTCGACTTTGTATTGAGTCCCCACAGTTCAGGAGTCATCTTATTGAGTGCAATTATTGTTTTTTATTCCCGAAAAGGGATTCCCTGCTTTTATAGAAGGCATATAAGTTTGTTACATCTAGGTCTGCTGGGGATCCATCTCATTCAAGAGCTCAAACAATCCTAACAAAAGATTAAAGAACAAAGCCGGCTAAATCTAAGAGAAAGCCTAGCATTACAGCTGCTGCTTGCCTCAAAGAAGATCCTCCCTGTCACAACTTGTGTATTCTTCCTCCATGAACGACTTAACTGGGCTTGAGTAGGTTTCCAGACATCGGCGATCATCCTCCTTCAGTAGCTCACACCATTTGTCAAGGTTGCAAAGAACGCTAGGCGCTAGGCAGGCATTAAGGCACCGCCTAGCGTACAAAATGCTTAAGCGTTGAACACACTTAAAACATTATACATTATTCATCAGCATAATAATAAGTTAATAACAAAAGAATACTTGAGCCATTCACATGCAATTATGATGAGCCCATTATACATTCAAAAGGCCCATTTGCCTCTCCCCTCACGAACTGCACGATATGGGCTGCCATTTCTGGCCCATCCAACTTATATGCACCTCATGATGCCCTATTCCTAGCACTGTACTATACAACAAAGCAGCCGCCGCCGGTCATCTCTCTTGGTCTCTCCTAATCTCATCGCCATCCTTCCTCCACGCCCGTTGGGTGGCTGGGTGGGACTGTGCTGGCAGCGATGCAAGGAGGCATGAGGGGTGGCGAGGATCACATGATGAGGACTGAGGAGCTCAAGCTTGGTTCCCCTTCTCTGCCGCCGCACGGGGCAACGAATTCCTTCGGGTAATCCTAGCTGCCAGGCCCTAGTTTCGTGCTCCCGCCTGTGCTCCTGACCTCCGCGCACTCCTTTCTCTGCACTCCCACCCATGCATTCCCTCTTGCCTTCGTCTGTCTGCCCGCACTCCTCGCTCCAGGCCACCTACCCTTGCCAAACGTTTAATTCAGCGCCCAGGGCCTAAATGCCGCGCTGAGGCTTCGATTCATGCTTAAGCGTGCCTAGGTGTACGATTAATAAAGCATTTTGGAACACTGCCATGTGTGCACAAAAATCCAAATTCTGTAAAGGACTTCAGTTCACAATTTTGGAAAGACATGTTCAATATTCATTTGGTTTCTGGTAGTCCAAACTCCAAATCGACCACACAACAATAGCAAAGAGTAGTTTATGACCATAGTTCTCTGCCCCTAGAGATAGCGATGGAATCATGCAAATCCCTCGTGCTAACTGTGATTCTATCCCTCCCTAGTGTTTCTTTAAAACAGCACCACTTAAAGCTATAAAGGCTTAAAAAACATTGGAAAAACACATGGTTGACTGCTTCAGGGACCCACAGAAGATGCGGTTTTTGTTTTCTTTCCGTTCCTTCTTTTTCAGAGCGAACCCCATTTGCAATTTCTCATGAGGCTAACCACAAGAACACTTTTTTAACTTGTAATTCACTGGAAGTGGCTTGATGTGTGCTGCTGTCTGTTGGCAGGAATTACCTGAGGCCTTTCTGAGTAAGACACCTTATATAAGGGAAGTTCTTCTTCTACCAGCTTTAGCCAACCGAAGTGAGAAGATCATTGCTGGTCTTGCCTGTTTGATGTGTGAAGTTGGCCAGGCAGTAAGATTTTTTTTCACTATATATACTTTTCTTTCAGTTTAGTTACCATACATGTCAATTTTATGAGCAAAATCAGAAAACATATTAATAGCTTGTTGGAATGAGCTTTTGACTTTTCATACAGTTGAGTTAATTGAAATGTGATAACTAAGAATTGACCGTTTCAAGATAGTTGAGAAGATGACTATGTAGAACACACCAATGCAATGAGCTGTGCTTTGTTAATGTAAAATGATTCTACAATCAGCAGAAGGGCAGAAAGTCTTGAGAGGAGTTCTAATATGAAATAGCGTATTACCCTTGCACACATTTTCAAAAATTGTTTTTCTTTTCTCATATGTTCGAATCTGTTGAACATGACCTGATACCTGTTCAACTTTCTTAGGCACCTGCTTTGGTTGCAGAAGGGGGTAGCCAAGCACTTGCTCTCACCGATGGACTTTTGAGGTCAATTTATTGCATTGTTTATGTGGTACTTTTCCTTGAGTTTTAATGTTAACTTTCAAGGTTTCAAAATAATTTTATAGTGCAGTTTATTTTTACCACATTATGTGAAGTGCTCTACCTCAACTGCAGATGTGTAGCTTTTACCAGTGAAGATTGGGAAATTGCAGAGTCAACCTTGCAATTTTGGTAATGATGCTTAACTTTCACCTTTTCATGTATGAAAAGCTCCTTCGCAATATCACGTAACAATTAGTCCATGTACTTTGGGAGCAAATCGCGTGCTCCTTTTCTTGGTTTGTATTGAGGTGTCATCAGTGTTTTGTCTGTGTGCACTAATTTAGGATGGGGTGGGTTGGTGACTGGTTAGCATCTCCGACATGATTGTAGGAATCCAGTAGGCCTATGTGTGGCACAAGGAATTGGTCTTCAACTGGTGTATCATGACAAACTTGCTTGGAAGGTGTATTTTTTACTAGTTTTTAATGGTTCACATTAATAAAATAGCTGTGTCTGACCTTTGAAGTTAGAACACACCCTACTCCTTGACTTCCAGCTGTGTTCACCTGTTAAACGACTCATATTGTGATATTTCACTCAATGCAGTTCCATTGTGGTTAGCACCTGTATAATAATTACTAAGTCACCCATGCTACAATATTTAAGTTTGTAAATTGGAACATTTCCCATATTTCTATTCTCCTGAAGTGAAGTTTAGTTCTCATGGTATTAATGTGCATGTTTGGGATATAATTAATTACTTTCTATGTTGAAACTCTGCAGGTGCAGTTTGGCACATTTTATTCTTGGTATTGATGTGAAGACAGCCAAAAGAAATGTGGCACAAGAGTTGTTTGTGCCTGTGTTTTCTTCACTGCTGGATGCTCTTTTATTTCGTGCTCAGGTTTGTCTGTTCTACCTTTATGTACGATCATTATATGTGTATGGCTATAAGGCTGTTCTCTTCCAAATGGCTTGACTCTCCTGTATATATGATTAAACCTAATACTAGTATTGTTTTATATTAATCTGCTCTCTATAAAGTTGCATATTTATCTTATTTGTCATAATCAAGTAATCAACTGAAGCTGATTATCTTACGAATTCAGCCTTTGGTTTGTAATCATACTTCATGTATTGTATTTCCTTTTAACTAAACTAGCAATTGTTTATCAAAAAAGGGAAAAAACTAGCAACTATACATTATCCATTTTTTGGTATATCTAATTGTAGAACAGAGGTTTTGTAAACTTGCCTTCTTATGCCTTGACATTCTGCCCATTCATAGATCGACACTGATTCTGATGGAGCACCTTGTATACCTGAGGGACTAACAAAGTTCAGGATGAATTTGGAGGAGCTCCTCGTCGATATTTGTTTGCTTCTAGGTGCCCCTGCATATATAAACAAGGTAAGTATTGTTTGCTGAATGGTTGCTTATGATCCATCCCTATGCACACACTTATTACATGTTTACGGTTTAACAAATGTTCAAACATGCTTCTTAACCTTCTGTTACTTAGAACTCTTATTTGCGTTAGTATGGTGTAGGAACACTGGAACACTAAGTACAATTTGTTTATGGATCCAAGAAATGTCCATTATTTACGAAAAGTGGCCAGTCCTTTCCATAATAGATTTTAGGAACAAGTGACCTAGCAGACGTAAGCTAATAAGGAAAAGATGCATAATTTATATGGTCAAGAATGAAGAGAGACTAAGTTGCTAAAGATTAATTGTTCCGAATCTTGCGGTTCTCTGCAAGAAACTGACATCTTCATGTCAATTATGTATTTAATTTATGTTTGATTTGTTCTGTGTCGTGGCCTCATGGGCATGAAGACCTCAGTTGTTGATAATTGAGATTTTTTTTTATTGAACATGCTGGAGAGCTGCTTATCTTTGATAAGTGAATTGATATCATTTTAAAGCTTTCCTTTCGACAGATAGTTTTGACATTTTTCTTCTGTATTTTTAATAAGGTTATTCTACCTAAAACTATGTGTTCTACCTGTATTTTAATTTATATGCAGCTCTTTTCTGGTGGATGGGACTTCTCAAGCCAAACAATTCCTTGGAAAGAGGTAGAAGTTAGAATGTATGCACTCAGCATGGTAAGTGTATCGAACCACTTGGTAAAAGTTTCAAATTGTTGTCATAAGATGTAAATAACTTGATCCTCATGGACTATATTAATTTTATTGCTGTTTACCTGCTTTTTCACTATATTCTATGACTACGTCCTCCCAGATCTTTACATCCTTCGAATTATGTCCATATCTAAAAGAAACCTGTATGATATTATGTCTATCTCTAAAAGAAACCTATATCACTTAGGGCCTGTTTGGTAGAGCACCTCCTGCTCCTGATTTGTGGGAAGTGATTCTTCGAGAGAAGTGATTCTGTGGCTGAAAGTGATTGTCTATGACTCTAGGATAAATCCTATGTAAGAAGTGATTCTATTCAGGAAGTGAATCAGGAGAAACTACTTTTCTCAGTTCCTAGAGAATCACTTCTTAGAATCAACGTAGAATCACTAATGTGCAATATACTGGCTGGAAGCTGCTTTGAGAGCTCTGCCAAACAGGCCGGGCCAAGCTGCACTTCAAACTTCTATGGGAACAGCTTGTTGCATTCAGAGGGTTCAATGGGGGCACATCAAATTGATTTAAATGGGCCATAAGTTTTGAATATTGATAAAATCACACCTATAATTGCTTTTGGAACCAATCAAGAGACAATTCCCTATCTTTTGATTGCATAGGGAATGACATCATGTGAGTTTTGCACACTACTATTTCGTTATAGTTATATTCTGCAAGTTATATGTTCTTTTTTCATTTTTAGTTGCTTAGACATGTGCATATCACTGTATGTTTGGACACAACCATGCTAGGAAGAGTGTGTTTCATGTCTATGCTGATACATTGTTGAATTTCAGGTTGCTGACACGATTTTACAAGATGAAAGCTCCTTCGATTTTTCAATCATAATGCATTTTGTGAACATTTTGTCCAGCAGAACACCTGAACTGAATGGAAGTTTGTTTTTGGTGTGACTTCTTCCATATGTTTTCATTTTTTTATTATATATACACTCAGATTTTTTTTTCTTTATCGTAGTTTATGAAGCTAATGCTGATTTCTTTTTCTGTTATGTCAAGGTATATAAATCGTTTGGTGATGTCATTGGTTCGTACTCAAAGTGGCTATCGTCTTCTCAAAGTAACATTAAGCCCTTACTGTAAGTATTTTGAATGTTTGTGAAGTTTAGGATTCTATGTATTCACTATGACTGTTAAATTTGTTTTTTATCATTATGTACAGCCTATTTTGTGCGTCAGGAATTTCAAAATCTATATCATCAAATGCTTGCTCCTTAGCATTGCGCAAACTTTGTGAGGATGCTCCTTCATTCATCCATGAACCTCAGAACCTTGAAATTCTTTTCTGGATTAGTGAGGTAACATTATGCCTTCTACTTTGCCAAATTAATTCTACCACGATATTCTAAATGATACTGGTCATAAGTAAAGATACAATATATTGAATACGGCTATACCCATATCAGATTATACTTCTGACATATCAACTTAGTACTGAGAAGGTTGCTGAAAATATTTTCATTGATTTTACTAGCATGTCTCCTTTTATTCTCTAAGAGGTGATCATAGGGATAGCCCTTCTATATTCAACAAGCTGATGCTTGGAGCATTTGTTACTTTGATTGTTAACAGAAGCTTTTGTGGGTCTTTAGGTTTTAGTTTATGCAGTGGATACGACATTGCTTACATGAATGACCATGGTATCATCACAACTAAATAAATATCATGAAGCTTGTTCATCTAGAAAGAAAGTTCGTTTCAGTTTTCATATGCTTGCTAATCGGACAAACTATTTGCATTAGTTTCTTCTTTGGCTACTGTTGTCATAAACTCATATATGCCCACTTAATGTTTTAGCATTGCATTCCATAAGTTAATTAAATCCCATTTATACACGCTTTAAAGGTATAACTTGATAAATCTTTCTTGTTTGGGCATTGTATGCAATGTAATATTTAAAATATAGTGTTCTTACAGGGCATGAATAAAGGGAACCTGCAGCTAGAGGATGAGGAAGAGATAATTAGTGCAATCACACATGCTTTAAGTTCTGTTAGTGAAAAAGAGTTGAAGAAAAGTTCACTGGCCAGGTTACTTTGTTCCAGTTACTCAGCAGTGGAAAAGATTGTATGTTCTCTTTCCGTAGTGTAGCCTTTCTTACAAAATCCACATGTGAACTGTTAATGAATGTGTCATCATCAAATTTTGGACTTTCCATTTTCCAGATTGACATAGACAGAGATCAATCGCTAAGGCAAAATCCAGCTGCTTATACACAATCGTTGGATCTTGCTGTCCGTGGTCTTTACAGGTATAGTTTTTGTATTGTTTCATGCTCTAGTTTGATGTTCCTTTTCCTTCAAGTAATGCTGCACCAGTACTGGGTGATGTTGAGCAATCGATTGGACTTCCATGGCTTGTTGACATGTCAGAATCTTACAACTAGTCTGTTTCTTCTTTTTGCACAAGGCAGCATATCACTGGCCTGTTTTTACTTTTTGGCTATTCAATTATTCGTTAAGAAGCTGGAAGTTTGATATTATAATATAAGCGATTTATACCCTTGTACAGGATGAGTGCTTTATTTCATCATTTGGCTACATCAGTCACATCTGGTCTGGTTGACGATGATATAATTATAGTTCTTATTGGAATACTTTGGCCACTTCTTGAAAAGCTTTTCCGATCATCTCATATGGAGAATGTGAATTTATCTGCAGCTGTATGTCGTTCTCTTTCTTCTGCTATACATTCTTGCGGTAAGTTCAATGGATTTTTAAAATGAGAAAATTCAAGTTGCATAGCATATAAATCAATTTTCTTATATGCATTTGTATTTTACAGGACACCACTTTCATATTTTATTACCTAAAGTTATGGAGTGCTTATCTGCAAATTTCTTGCTGTTTCAAAGGCATGACTGCTTCTTGAGGACAGGCAAGGACCTTATACTTTTATGCACAACTAATTTTTTTTTTGCTTCCAAAATTCAATTAAAAAAAGATTCTTCTCTGCACCTCGTCATAACCAGGGTTAATAATTGATCATAATGTAAGTAAGAGTTTGGCTATTGTTGATCTCTTAAACTAAAGCAAATATGTATGAGTTTATGTTGTATTCAACTCGATCCATATGTTTCAGTTAGAGCCTCTGGGGATACTTACCTGCCTTAGTGCCTTTTATTCAGCTATGTACTTTTGATATGCTTTTGAACTACCATGCCATGCTACTAGTCATTGTTTTCTGAACTAGCACATAGAATCATAACTATACATATCCATGGAAGATTTCTATATGTTATGCTAATAATTATCACTAAATTACTAGCATGGCATCTTATTTCAATAAATTTGTTGACTCTACTTGACCTCATTCAAATTTCAGCTGCCAATGTTATTGAGGAGTTTGGCCACAAAGAAGAATATGGGGCTTTATGTGTTAGGACTTTTGAAACACTTAGCTCTGCATCTTCAATATCAGCTCTGAATTCTTCTTATACCTGTGATCAAGAACCTGACCTAGTTGAAGCATATACCTACTTTACATCTATGTTTATTCGCTGCTGTCCAAAGGTTCTTATTTTTCTCTTGTTTCGATATTAGTAATATGTTTTAGACTTTTAGCTCAGTAGCTTGGCATGATATGTAATGCCATTTTAACACTACATCTCTTTGTTGATTGCATAAATAATCAGGAAGCTATTGTGGCATCTAGCTCCCTGCTTGAGTTATCATTTCAAAAGGCAGCTATATGCTCTACAGCAATGCACCGAGGAGCTGCACTTGCAGCAATGTCATATATGTCGTGTGAGTGCTATTTTATTCACTTTTATGTATTGTCCTCTGGCTTTAATTGCATGTTTTTGTGCTCCCCTCATTCTGTGATGGGTAAACTTCTTTGTACATCCTGAATAGATGGATTTGGAGTGAAAACTCATGTCAGCAAAATGTTAGCTCATAAAGTTTACTATTGGCCTGCTTTGCTTTACATCTATGAGTTTTTTCTTTCCTTGGTAAGCTGGATGATACATAACAAAATACTTGCACTGTTCTTCTGAATGGCATTCTTTACTTGTTCATGTTTACTAGAGAGAGATAATATAATTACATACCTCTATTACTTTTGTCTCTTGCTATGTGATTAAATTCATTTGTCTTTGAAGCTGGCCATCTTTCACAATGTATCAACTAGTTAACATAGGTGCAGTTTAGGAAGATTTAGTTTTGTTCCTTCTCGAGATTGTATAACACTGTAACTGTTAGAGTATGGCAGGGGCCTATTGGGCCTAGGCTGGATGTATAGCCCATTAGTGTTAGGGTTAATTAGAGATAAGGGTCGCTTTGCTTAGGAGTCAAGTAAACCTCTCTATATAAGGAGAGGTGATATATCAATCTAATCAAGCAAGAATTAAGAAGGAAATCCTTCCTCTTGCCCGGCCGTGGTCAAACGCCCCATGCAAGGCTCTCTCACCCTCGCAGCTCTCTCATGAACAGTACCCGCGGTACTGTCGCCATGGTACTGTAGCGCGTCCCGCCGCTCCCTCGCCTCTCCTCTCAATCCTAATGCAACAATGCTGTATCGAGATCTCGGTTCCGATGTCGACCTCGCTGCCCACCTCCACCACTCCGCCACCGCCCTGCCAACGCCTTGGCGCATTTGCTTGACCAGCAGGACGTCCCAAATGTTCTCGCCCATGGAACCACATTGCTCGTTCAGAGACCTCGCTGTCGATGGCCACGGGGGCGTCTCCCTCCGCCATTGGCGTCATGTCGAACGCCGAATTGACGGCAGCGGTGCTCGACCTCGGCAAGATGGTGGCCGGATTCACGCGCGTTCCTTTTGGGACCGCAAGGATGCATGATCGATCCCACCACCGCCGCCACGCGGCGAAGAATCGCCGCCGCCACCGCTTCCGGCTTGGATCGTCGGTTTGTCGAAACCCATCTACACGGCGCCCGATACCAAATACACCTACCGCCGCTCCCGACCACCGGGTTGTCGCCTTTTATGGCGGCGCCCGGCTCGGCGTCCTCTCTGGCGGGGGTGGGCGGCCCCCTGTTCCACGACGGCGGCTGACAAGATCTTGGCGCTCTCCGCCGCGTCGCCCTCATTTGGGCAACCGCGGCGCGCGCGCGCCCTCGTCCTCCCGCGACAGACCCGCCCGCCCGATTGCGCTTAGTCACGCGGAGGACCTCGATCTCATCCGCTGCGTCGGGGATCTCGGGCATGCGGTTTCCCCCACGGGCGGCGGGCATGCTATTTTCCCTGTGGGCAGCAGTTGGGGAGGCGCATCCCTCCACCTCGTTCTCCATCGGAAGCCCTCCGCTCTTCTCTGTGCGGTGCAGACCAGCAGCCGTCTGGCGGGGAGAAGGTGTGGGGTCACCAGCGAGAGCGCACCGCGTAGCGCCGTCGCATGGTCGCTGTTGCGACCACTTCTAGGTGGCCATACACATGCACCCCTTTCGTCTAGATGGTGTCCATGGGATCCAGGAGGCGGATGGTGTCCACCTTATGTTCAGGAGTCAAAAATAAAGAGTCCCAGTCTATTTCAGGTTGAGAATAATAACATAAGCCAAGATGTAAAAGGCTTGTTTTTAGGTGTTAGGAGTCGAGTCAGCGTTATAAGTTCGTTAGGTTGCAGCTCGAGGACGAGCTGCATGTCCAGGTGGGGTGTAGTGTTAAAGTATGGCAGGGGCCTATTGGGCCTGGGCTGGATGTATAGCCCATTAGTGTTAGGGTTAATTAGAGATAAGGGTCGCTTGCTTAGGAGTCAAGTAAACCTCTCTATATAAGGAGAGGTGATGTATCAATCTAATCAAACAAGAATTAAGAAGGAAATTCCTTCCCTCTTGCCCGGCCGTGGGCAAACGCCCCGCGGCCGGCTCTCACCCTCGCAGCCCTAGGCGTGAACAGTGGCTGGAGGAGGAGGATTGAGAGGGAGAGGCGAGGGGAGCGACAGCGGCTGACGCGCTACAGTACCCGCGGCGCTACAGTACCGTGGGTACTGTTCGCGGATAGGGCTGTGAGGGTGAGAGAGAGCCAGCTGTGGGGCGTTTGCCCACGGCCGGGCAAGAGGGAAGGGATTTCCTTCTTAATTCTTGCTTGATTAGATTGATACATCACCTCTCCTTATATAGAGAGGTTTACTTGACTCCTAAGCAAGCGACCCTTATCTCTAATTAACCCTAACACTAATGGGCTATACATCCAGCCCAGGCCCAATAGGCCCCTGCCATACTCTAACAGTAACACCATTTGAAAGAGAATAATTTCCTTAGTTTCCATTAAAACATCATTAAGAAATGAAAGCAATATAGAAGGGAGTTTATTTTTACTGCAAATGCATGGATGTATTTTCAGCTAACGAAGAGAGTTGGTATGGTAAAACCTTGGCATCACTTTATTAGGCTTGGCGATTTCTCTTTAGAACTATGACTGTTTAACATGGTTATTAAAGGTCTTTCAAGTTGGTATAGCATTTGAGCAAGTGTGTGGTCAAGTGTCAGGAATTTTCTGGTTCATGTTTCATTGTTTTTGGAGTGTGTTTAAAATCTCTGCACTCTGATCATTTTTGCTTCAAATTGGAGACAGCTGGCATATGGACACCTTGTTTGTTATAACCTGGCACTGTCATGCATCAGATCAATCTATTGCACTTAAATCCCTGTGGTTGTACTCAATCATTTCCAACTAAATAATTCCAAAGTTATATTCCACCTGCAGGTTTTCTTGAGGCTGTCCTTGCTGCTGTGCTAGAATCTCCTGAGTGCATCCCTAACGGGTCACCTGGTGTGGCCCTAATCCAAATCTTGGCACGCTGTGGTGAAGGTCTATTATCTAATGTGCTTTATGCTCTACTTGGTGTATCAGCCTTGTCAAGGGTGGGTGCAATTTGAAGAATAATTTTGTTGTATTTTCCTCTATTTGTTTGCATATATATATATTTTTGGATACTCTACAATTTGTTATGTGAGACATCTAAACTAGCCAGGACATTGAACTTGTGCATGTAAACCTTAATAAGCTCTGAACCTTATCTGGGTTTTCAAACTTTTCATCTGGCATAAGCTACTATATTAATGATTATGCTTGGATGAGTCGGACTGTTTAAGTTCTTAGCATACTGGTGATGATACTATTTCTGCTGTTACACAAAGTGCTTCTATTGATTTATTTGTTCTGCTCGGTCAAAAAATGTTGCGGAGTTTTCACATTCTTTCTCTAAACAGGTCCATAAATCTGCCACAATATTGCAACAACTGGCGGCATTGTGCAGTTTCTGTGAGGGAACGGCATGGAAGGCTGTTCTTAGTTGGAATTCTCTTTGTGGGTGGCTACAATCGACGGTATTCTTTTCACGACAGCTTTCACTGTGATTGTTCCAGTCCCAGCCGATATGCTCTTTCTGTATCTTTTTTTTCTTCTTTTGATAAAAAAATTTCTCTAACTAACTTGAGTTTGCAACTATTGACATGAGGTAGTCTAATTCCGCCATTTAAATTTCACACATGTATGATTTGATTAGCACTGCTTTGAGGATCATATTCTTGGTAACTATCTGGCATAATTGATTCTGTTATTCTCTTATTTAACTTGAAACATGGATGTTGGATCAAAAACATGTTGAACTATTTTTCCTTCATTTGGTTACATGACAATCTGATGCCAGATCTGAATCCATTGATGCAGAGAGTGTGTTTAGTCATGTGCTCAATACGTTCACAGCTATTGCCTAATGTTGGCTGACATGTTTGATTAGGTGAAATCTTTGCCTTCCGAGTATCTAAAGCAAGGGGAAGCTGAAATTATAGTTCCATTGTGGCTCAAGGTGCTTCAGGATGCAGGCTCAGACTATCTTTACAGCAGGACTGGTGATAATATAAGAAGCCATCAAGGTTACATGCAAGGGAAGGGTGGTAGAACTCTTAAACGCATAATCAGAGATTTTGCAGAAAGCCACCGGAATGTTCCAATTCCCAGTCCTTCATGATATGGATGTATCATAAGTATTACACTCTTACTGATTTGGGGATCCCCAGTCCTAACAGTAGCTTGGAGTCTGACTCTAGAGAGGGGGTCCTTGTGGAACTGATGCCCGTCTTTGCTGGCATGCTACATGCTGATCCTGTGGTTCCATCGGCAAGAGGAAGAGGCTATTTGCTGGTTCGGACTTGCAGAGTCTTCTTTGTATAGCAAGGTAGTCACACCATTGTTCTGCTGACTACTTGGAGTTGAATGTTGTGGAGGTACATGGGCTACAAGACTGGTGGTACTTTCCAAAGTTGGAAGTCGCATGTCATGGTTCGAGATCCAATGTTTTTGATGGAAACATGGATACATGATGAGACATACTGTGAAATTCATTGTGCTGGTAAGCTATGAAGACAAGATGGGGGGGAGATGAACACATAGTTGTACATACCATTCTTTGGTGGTTGGGCAGGCGATGTACAAAACATTCATATGTACTGTTACTGCTCGAATTTTGAGTTAAACATGGGCAGTAATGCTTGGGCATTTAATCAAACCTCTCATGTCAGTTGAAACTTTGAAAAGTGTACATAATCAAATGTATTATCCAGAATTATGACTCGCTCTATTAATTACAAATGTACATAATACGTTATCTGATCGCTCTATTATAAATTATGACCAAGCTCCATCTCAAGTTAGTCCCGCAACAACATATACAAGTATACATATTATAGTATTATATTTAGCAAGCATGATAGATGTACTCTACTTTTGATAAGCGGTAATGCGACCGGAAGGTCGGACGTCTTGCTCCACTCACTGTCGCATGCGCCGTTTGCCTAAAAAACAAAATCAACTTCCACACGCCGCACTCCGCTTTGCCCTTGCACACGGCGCTTGGCTTCGCTCCTGCATGTGGTGCTCGACTGACAGCCCTAACAGATGCGGCGCGCGGCTGCCCTCTCCTGGTTTTGGCGTGTGGCCGCCTACGAGTCACGGCGCTCGGCTACCAGCCTTGCCCGGCGCGGCATGAGGTCGCTACCTCCCTGCTCGGTACGTGGCCGCTGCTTCCCTGTCTTGTTGCGCAGCCACTGTCGAGCCGTTGCCTACAAGCACCGCTAGGCCGCTGCCTCTGATGAACTCCACATGCCGACGAGCCTCTATTCTCCCAAACAACAAGATGTTTGCACTGTAACTGCATGTTGCAAGTGTCTGTTTCAAGTGTTTTAGAGGCATGTTACAAGTGTTTTATACATATGTTGCAAAAGTAGATTGAGATGTTACGCATATTGCAATTGTTGTATACGTATGTTGCAAGCTCGTGTTCTCAATGTTTCATCTGTTTTTTTTCGACGTATGTTGTAAGTGTGTTTATCGGATATTGCATATGTTTTCACACATATGATGCAAGTGTTTTATCTGGATATTGTGTATGTTTACAATGGTTTCAAGTGTTTTCAGGTGTTTTTGCAAGTGTTTCAAACGTATATTTTAAATGTTTCATTTATTTTTAGACATATGTTTCAATTCTTGCATCTGGATATTTCAAAACTAGATCGAGTGTTGCATCTCCCTCTTCGCCTTTCTGCTGTCTCGTCTCGATGTCAGGCGTGGGAAGGCGGAGACGGTCCCCACTAGAGCGGGCAGGCCCACGTGCTTGCGGGCGGACGCAGCAGGCGAGGGGTGGGCGGGCCCACATGCTTGTGGCGGGCGCAACAGGCGAGACGTGGGCGGACAAGCATGGACGCGGGATGGGGGGCAGCGGCGTGACGTCGGGCTAGGGTCCGGACGCTTGCGGGCGGGCGCAAGCAGGCGAGGAGCGGGCGGGCCTACGTGCTTGCGGGCGGGAGCAGCTAGCGACACGGTGAAAGGTCCGTGTTTGGTTTTGGTAATTGAGTGACAACCTAGGTGGACTAATTGTGTTTATGTGAGATACACAGGTAATTAGTCTACAGGTACATGTGTGTGAGCAACATATGCCATGAAGGTGGAAATGGCTTGGAGATGTTGCAAAGCTCACACATGTGATTGTAACACCCTAAGTGTTAGCCTTGCATAACTTGACTTGCATAGCATGAGCATGATCATCAAGCATTCATATATATGCATTTACACTTGAAACATTCAATTGAAACATGTGCAACATTTCTTAGTATTTCATGCTTTCATATGAATATGCATATGATTATGAGTTTATACATGTGATTGGTTGATATGAGTCACAAAAACATGTTAGCAACACTTAGGTTAGCAAATGGAACATTGTTCATGAATGTCACCTTTCATGATCAAGCACTTAAGTAATGTTACATGTGTTGACCTGGATAGCCCTATGTGTGACCAATGCATGAAATGATTGGGTGACCTTGCAATTAGCTTAAACATGTTTAGTATGTCATTATGAACAACTTTGGTATTCATGGTTAGGGGCAAATTGGTCACTAAGCCCTAGTTTGAATGTATACCATTATTTGAATGTAGCATGTTTGACCAAGTTTGAATCATATGCTAGAGACCTTGCATGTAGGTGGTCACTAAAGCAAAGTTGTAGTATATGGTATAGGGAACAACTTTTATTTTTGGGTCATGAGATGATAAGGTGCATAGCTTAGTCTTTTGGAGCTCACAAAAATCAACAAATCTCTAATTGCAACACTTAGAGAAAATTTCTCAGTCAGTTAAATGACAGTGTTGATGTAGCCACCTTTGAGATGATTTTACTCCGCATTCTTTGAGAATTAGCACTGGGTCCTTGAATAGAAATTTGAGCTGGTATATAGGTCTACGACTTTGGTTTAGATAACCGGCGCTAATGCTTCACAAATTTGAAGAACGAGCTTCGCAAAATCACGTCGTCAGGCTCGGACACGGGCTCTGATGGCCACCTCACTCAGCCTTCAGTGGCCGACCGGTGCACAGGTACTGGCCACCGCGTGGAGGAAGAAACGGCCGCACGTCACCGTTGCCCTGATCCGCCAGGCAGCGCCGGGCCAGAGCATGCCTTCAACTCCCCTGCGCCCGCCCGCACTGACCCGCGCTCACCATTTCCATTTTCACTGCCTCCTCCTTCGCCGTCCGCAGTAGCGAAGCTCCCGCAGCACTACCATCGCCGTTGATGGCACAAGCTCGCGCCTAGTCACTCAATCGCCACCACAGCCGCTACATTGTGCTTCACCGTGACCCCGCATCACCATCGCACCAGCATTCGCTAGCCAGGAGCGCGGTAAGCCGCTTCGCCGCCATGACCGAGGCTCGCCGGAGTTGGAGCTCTCCGTGGCCGACCACCACCGGAGCCCTCTCACTCCCTTACCTTCCTACCCTAGTATTCCACGCGATCCCTAGAAGCATGTTTACAAGTGTTTGAGGTACCCAAGTTTGGTTTTGAGAAGATCTAAAAGCATGACAATCAAAGAGTACAAGGATATTTGATTGAGGAGTGTACTTTGCACACATTCGGTACTCAAATTGGAAGATCAAGATCAAACTCAAGATGAAGATGAAGTTTAAGTTCTAAATATGATTGAAGAATCATTTAATAGAAAGAAAAGGACTTAAACAAGTAGAAAGAAAAGGACTTAAAGAAGGAATCAAGGTTACTCATCAAGTTAAGTCCATTACTTGGATCAATCAATCAAGTCATTTCAAGTGAGTATCAAGAATGGTTCTTGGAGAGAGGTCACTTCTCCCTAGTGTAGGGGCTTGCTGCCTATGAGTAGGTAAATCAAGTGTGGTACTTGGAAGGCTAACATAGAAGTGGTGATCCGAGGGACATTTGAGATGCTTAGTTGAAGCAATCAAAAGGATTGATCAAGAAGAGCAAGCAACACCCAAAAGAGAGCTAATGATGATATTTCAAGTGGTTTTCCAAATAGTAATCTCATGCAAGCAAAAATCAAAAGATGAAGCAAGTCAACCACAACAAGAAAGTGCATTTGATCATAAGTGGTATTCATTTCATATGGGTGAAGAATGGAATTAAAAAATAGTATCTATTGGTCTTCACTAAACTTATAATTGGACTTCACATTGCTATTGAAGTAATAAATTAGAATCTATGTGACTATCCTCTACTCCAACATAGCAAAGGTATCAGTGTACTGTGCATGATCATTTCATCCCTTACTAGTATGACGTTAGTGCATATAGTACATGCTTCATAGGATCATGCATAACAAATAAAATATTTAAATTCATAGCCTACCACTACTGCTTGAATGATTAATTGATTTAGTGGTTAGTATATGACTTTGTTCATGAGCTAAGTAAACCCAAGTACTTGATTTAATTTGGATTGCCAACAAGTGACAAGTACAACATTGACAAGATAACCCTTGTAAGATGTGTGAAGAAGCTTGTCATTGGTTCAACCCGGACTTGGAAGCTTAGGCAAATCAATTTAGTTCAAGTCAACATTAGAAGCTCATGATAGTGATAAAAGTACAAGCACAAGACAACAATGCAAATGGATATCTAGTTTGTATGTTTTAAATGGTATCTAGACTCAAGTATTCCATCAAGAATCTATAAATGATGTCTAGATCAACTCACAAGTGATATCCTATAAGTGGTACTCATGAAGATAGTAAATGTTCAAGAAATAAGTTTTTATTGATAAATCCAACAAGTGGTTCCTAACTAGAAGATTCTTTCAAGTGGTATTCACTTCATACAAGTAGTATCATATCTACACATGATATCAATCATATAAAACGATGGTTCCACAAGTGATCCTCAACCTTAAGTGATCATCAAATAAAGAATGCATCCCTCACCTACAAGAGCTCAAGTGACCCATGCTATCACATAGGGGGAGGTGTCACACAAATTTATATCAAGATCAAAGATCCTATGTGTGGTATCTTAAGAAGCCCTACACAAGATACAAGTAGTACAAGTGACAAGTGGTATCTACAAGTGGTGTCATTCCAACAATCAAGTGATGTCCATAAAAAATGCAAGATTCAAGCCTCAACCATCTACCCCAAATGCATACCTTTGCATCAATGAGAAGCTCAC